AGAATGATATGATATTCTCTTGTCTAGAATTCGATGGAGATCGTTGGCCATAAAAGTATATCTATGAACAAGAAAAGGAAATATATTTTATCAAATAGAAGAAATATGAAAGTGGGAAACAAGTCTTTCTCGTGTCCATAATCCAGAGCTCCAAATCCAGAGCAAAGACCATAACTTGGACTGTTGGACATGATAAAAGGCAAATAAAATCAGAATACTGAAAACAGTCTCAAGAATAAGAAGGCTGAAAAATTAATGGATGCCAAATCTAAATAAATATCCAAGTCATTCATCATTAGAAATACTGAATTTCATGAGAACACATGACAAATAACACCTTAAAACAAAGATTCCTCAAACAGATTTGCATATTAATAACAAAGATATCAACAAGTATCCTCAAGCAAACACAATAAAAAAGTTACTAGAGTCTAGACAAGCTGTCAAGTCATTAAAAAAATATCCCAAACAAATTTTGATCCAAATCAGCAAACAACAAATGAACATTTACAGAAGAGAAGAGAGATATACCATGGTACTGGCATTTCCTGAGTAGAGTGTCCAAAAGCTTCAGACAAATTGGGTCATCATCAACAGCAAGAACACGCATCCCCACTGGGAAATTCTCACAATTTTCACTTTCACTCTTTATTTTCTCCACAGTCATTATTCTTTATCCAACAATCCAAACACGCCCCGAGTAATAAAAATCGCAGCTTGGAGGTTAAAAAGCCCCTCCAACACTAAAAGCTAGATTAATCAGTCCAAAATCGAGATGGGGTCGCAGAAGAACTCCAAATCTGCCGTTTTAGCTGCGCAGAGACATAAACAGGGCAAAATCCTTAGTTGAATCAAATTAAAAAACCTCTGCACATGGGACAATGATGTTTGAACCCAAGAATACACAAGAATGAGCAGTCTTTTTCTCTATAAAAACCTGTGCGCAGATCTTTTTTTTGTCTGTTTGCTTGATTACTTCTCTTCGTGCTATTTTAGTGATTGGCGATAAAAGGGTCTTTATTTTATTCATAAATTAATGTGTATTACTGTATTTTACTGAAACTTTTTCGTGGGATCATGCAATTCTGGAAGGTGAAGACCGTTGGGAAATGATATGGTGCGGATGAGGCGCACTGAGGGTTTGGTACACCCGCAGCTGGTTTGACAAGCGTTGGCCTTCGTCTGGATAGTGGTGTTGTACCCAATGGCAGCTTGCAGTGAAGGTACAAGGTGGTGATGCACGTGTTTTCCACACGTTGTATTTTTTCTCAGCTCTCTCTTAAAAATTATCATCATGCCCAAGGAAAATAGTGCTATTTTTGGAGAACATTAAGGTTTGTCCTTGTCTTGTCGAGAGTGTCTACAAAGTACAACTTTGTCCCCAAAATCATTTAATATAATTTTGGAATTTTTATTTATTTCATATTATTGGGTTTTTGTCATTTTCTTTCACAAAGTATAAGGGGATATGATTTATTGGTTTCAGATAATAGTTTATCCATAATATCGGTGCCACATAAATAAAAAAAAAAAAGGGTCGGTGCCACATAAGTATAAAAATTATGATTTATGGTTTTTCAAAAATGAAATTATCTAATTATTTATTAGGATTTACTGTAAAGTTTGCAAAATGAGTTTTACATTGAGGTATATCTTACATAAATTCAATTGTCAATTACTCACAAATTCTAATCAGTATCTAGTTAGTATTTATCAATTGTTTTATATATGTTTTTTTTAAGCAGTCACATCTAAATATCTCCAAAAATAAAAATAGAAACTTTTTAGTAGTTGATCGCTAGTATTTGAGTTGTAAAATTACTAATGTCCAGGTTTGATGCATAGAGATGCATCAATTGTATTTCACATTTCCATCAAATTGTTTAGAGGGTAGATTAGTCTTTCTGTAGAATTTGGTGGATAAACTACTTTTAGAACAATCAATTCAGAATCTTTGTAATAATTTAGAAATTGAATACTAATGATTTTCCCATTTTTTCACCTTTGTAAAAATCATGCAGCTTTAAGCAAGTTGGCCTATTTAAATATGAAAAAGTATCTTAATCTGTGCTTCATTTTCAAGAAACTGTGACTTTACATTTAGGTATCCAAAAACATGAAGGCAGTCTTATGCCATCACCCAATGAGGATTGGGTGATTAGCATCTTTAATATTCCTTTGAAAATGAAAACAATAAATACAATAATAAATGATGATTACAATAATAGAAGGTGAAGCGTGGTGAGGTGTTGACTAAATTCTTAAGTTGTGTGTTGATCTATGTTGCTTTTCACTGTTTAGGTTAGAATATTGATTCATGGAAGGGATTTAGAAAATAAAAGAAATAAAAAAAATATATAGCATGATCAGTTTTAGGGTGTGTTCATTCAGCATTCTTATATTCCCTTCCTTTTTTGGAAATATTTCGGTTTTTGTATTTAGCTTAAGTTTTTTTTAACTTTTAAAAGTCTTCAAATATNAAGACAAAACACATATAAAAAATCTTGCTCTAAATTTTCCATCCGGACTTCTTTCAATGATTCGATCAATTTTTGTTCTAAACCTCAAATTTAAATAAAAAATAAAATAAAATGTCACCTAAAATCTTACACGAAATTCACAATTAATTTCCTATCTAATGCACGTTATGATAAGAACCTATATATTGTTGTAAAATTACTAAGTTGGCTCAAAATAAAATGAATGTATTAGATAAACTTAATATAATGAATGTATTAGATAAACTGATGAAGTATGTATGTTTATGCATATAATATGACTTGACACGAGGTCGTTCACGTTGTTATTCTATTGTTGAGATTGAAAAGGTTAAATTAATATATGAAGATCCAATATCGAAAAACCTTATCCAGCATCATATCATCTGTATTGGATAAATGATGTGCCATATATTTACAAATAACCACGAGCGCATGAACAAATGGGCTTGTAAGTTAATGGTAAATCTTGTGTTTCTTAAACTTAATAATTCATGTATTTGTTATTTATTTTTATTTATGATATATCAAATTAATCATATCTTGAATATATTCGATTTAACATCCATATTTTACATAAAAAAACAAGGAATATTCATTAGAAAAACAAAATACCACATTTTAAAGGAAAATCAAATGTTAAGATATTCTAATAAAAATCTCAACTTATATTCCAACGCGAAAATAATTGTTTGAAATAAATTTCTAGTAAGAATATGATGATTCCAATTACCATTTCTCCAACGGTTTATTGTTGTAGAAATTTCTGTTGGAATATGCAGTTTTTATTGGAACCATTGCTAAACAATCAATGAAAATCCATCATTCGAATCGTCAAAATCTAATAAAAATTTCAAAGAAAAAATCATCTAAAAAAATATTATCATTGTAGTTTATGTTGGAAATTTCAATGAAAATATTAGCATTGAAATATTCAATGGAACTATCATTGAATTTTCTTTGAAATTTCATGATTTTCTTATATTGATTTAAAATTTTTAGAGTAACAATATTTATTTTTTAAAATTATATATAATTTCTTAATTAAAAAAAAAACAGAAGATAATAATATATTAGTAGCTAACATTACTAGAAAATAATCAAATTTCAACAAAAAATTCTAGCGTCAATATATTAATTTCAACAGAAATCCAAAGTAATAACTTTAAATGGGAAATTCCGTAGCAATTTTAATGTAATATTTTCGTTGGAATTGATTTTCTATTGATTTTGATAATTTCAATGATAGTTTTTTTTTAACAGTTAGAATTATTGGCACAAAATATTAACCCCAACGTGATTAAATACTCTAATGACAATCCATTCGATAATAAACTATTAAATAAAAAAGTTTTATAGTTGGAATTATCAATTTCATATATACACCTTAATACTTAACTAGTAGTAGTTGGAAACTTTGATACACATGTTTTATCTCTTTCTTTCAATGACGGTTGTTTCAAGAGCTCGTGGCTTCAACTAAAACGAGATACACAAAATCTCGTATCTGTCAAACTTCGTGACCTCTTACATTGACCAAATAGGCGACTAAATTGTTGATATCTTAATTATATTAGTAATTATATATGCTAATATATGCTCAAAATTGATCAAATTTCCTTCACTTCGAAACGAGTAGCCCATTATACTATATTCTAAGTGTATTCAATAATTATGATGATATAAGGTTGGTCACCATTGGGATTGAAGCTAGATAATGCATTGTAAACCTATTTTTATGCCTTTTAATATTCATAAAACCACAAACGATCTATTTCTAACTGCTCTATCAATTTTGGCTATCTTTGAATATAGCACAACTTTCAACATTAGCACTAAAAACTTTCAAAACTATGATTACTAAGGTAATTATAATTAAACATGTAGGAATAAAAATTCAATAATCTGAATATATAAGAACACACTACAAGAAAATGATGAAATTTCAACAGAAATATATTCAAATAGAATTCCAACGGCAATTCCATTGAATATTTTTCAATGTTATTATTACCATTGAAATTTTTCAATAGATTACAATGGAAATTCCAACAAAAATATTCCGTTGGAATGAGTTTTCTTTTGGAATTTATGTGGAATTTTGACAATTCCAACGGTAGATTCTCCAAATAAGATGAAAATAAAAATTCCAATGATAATTCTACGGTAAAAAGCCGTTGAAATCATTAAATTCTATTTAAAATTCTAATAAAATACACATTCCAACGGAATATTTTCATTGGAATTTTTCTTGGAATCATTCGAACGGAAGTTATACCATTGGAATATCCGTTGAAATTTTCATTTAAATATATTATTATAAAATTTTTTGTTAGAATATAATAATTTTTTGTAATGATGTAAATATGTGTATTTTTAGTAAGATTATAAAATTAATTGCAGAAAGATGTTGCATGGTTCTTTCACATGGGATTGGGCATAATATTCCTGTTGATTTGTAGTGCCCACGTGGGCATGAAATTTCTAAGTCAAATTATCAGTGTTTGGGAATACTCCTCCATTTTAAAATATAAGGCATTTAAGATTATTGCACAAATATTAAAGAGACATTAATTAATGAATAAATTGACTAAATTAACCTTATTTATTCTAATCACAACCACTCCACACTTCCTTAATTTCAACACAATGAGGATATATTTAGAAAAAAATACAAAAATTTGTCTTGAGTTTTGAGCGCGCCTTATATTTCAAAAAAATTGAGAAATCTTTATACGCCTAATATTTCAAAATGGAGGGAGTATTAAATAGCTTAAAATAGAAAAAAAAAACAATCTTATTGGTCCGATCACTGGACTTGGAATCTGTAAAAGCATCTCCAATGACATATTGTCTATTTTGTGTTGCATGAAGGAACGAGAATATTAAAAATTGTGTCTCCGTTGGAATTATTTTTAGGCATACTTTGGTCGCTTTAGTTTAATTTGTTATCTTATCTTTTGTTGGGCACTTCTTCTTTGGGTAGTTTAAAGTACGAAACTTTACAAGAAAAATCGAGACTTTGTTGTAGAGTTCGGTAATTTCATAGTAAACCTTTCGACTTTAGGTCCTAGGTGCGTTAATTGTAGTTTGTTTCTCTTGTTTTCGCCTTTTTACTAGGTTTTAAGCACTTTAGTTTGGTAATGTTTAGGTCTTTAATTAAAATTTGCATCTTTAGTTCATTGCTTTTCATTTCCCTAGTCCAAATTAGTTTAAAAATCCCCTAAATCAATTGCTTATAATGTTTAGGACTTTATTTTCCGTTCTTGTGCTTTTGGACAACTAGTTAATAGACAAAGCTCCGAACTGTCTTCCTTGAGAAACGACTCGAGGTTTGAATAACTCACTTATCAATTACTCCCGCTAAAAATCAACTAAACAAGCCACAGATCTAAGTCGGACCAAAATTGTAATTCTCAATCGAGAGTCGATCGGGACCACACAACCCTCCGCCACAGTTAGCTGTTGCATCGTGTGTCGATCTCCAATCCCATATTTTTTGCTTTAAAAAAAAAAGAGAGAAATAATTGGAAAAAAAAAAATCAACAAGGGAATTTATATTACCTTCACGATTTCTATGATCAATGTATGACGCACAACATAATTTTTTTTTGCAGGTTGCTTAATTTTTTTATTTTTTTTGGATGTATCAAGCTCGATCTAGAAAAAAAAAAGATACATCAAAGATCACTTCTCAATTTCATCTGAAAATTTGAAATTCTCAAACAAAAAATGGTAAGTCTCATTATTTGGTATGGCTTTTTTAAAATTTTTGTTTTGCTATTGCGACAGTTTCGGTAACCTTAATTGCGGCAAGTTTTATGGAAGGGCTGAGAGGATTCGTAAAAATAAAAATATGTTTTCACGATGGCCTTAGATGATAAATGATTGCTTCGATCGTAAATCAAAAAATAAGTGTTATAATAGACGTAGGTATGTAAATTAGCCTAGAATATTTTCTAAGTGTAGACTTAGCTACCACGCGTATAAGCCTACACGACATTATGGTTTATTTGTCATATAAGCCTACATAGTCGTATGAGCGTTTGTTTCTCAGTATACAATCACAAAACCAAATGAAATCTGACGAATTGGAATTATACCTCCGTATTTATTTTATAACCGTCTTAATTTTCATTTTCCTTATAAAGTTCCATGCAATTCTAACTCACGCAGTCATACATATTTCAATATATATGCATATTTGCATATTAAAATTAAAAAAAGGTATAATTTTTCAAATCATAAGTATGCATTTTAGATAAATATATAACGTGTCGACCCTTATAACGGTTGGACTGTCTCATATACGAAATGACAATCTTTTGTTAGGCGGGCCTACATTATGTGGAAATATTTTTATAAAAATATGTGTACTTTTATTAGAAAATTTCATACTTTAAAAAAATAACATAAAAGAGACGAGAAGTATAGTATTTAATAATATAAATATATATTTTTATTAACATAATATAATTGGTGAACCCGACTAGGTTATCTCATACGTGAATTTGTTTTAAAAATTTGTGATGGTTCTTCTTTGATGGACCGATGCATAGTAATCCGATCTCAGACTTTTTGATTACTATCTTATCTCCAAAATAATTGTTCAGAAAAAAAAATTAGCAATTGAATTGCACGTGTCGCTTCAATTTATTGTGGGCAAACAAACGTTAAGAAATCACAACTTACTACTGTTTGGTGGCCTCTGCCATTAATACACCGCATCAGGGCTTTGTCTCAAGAATCGGTTTCTGGTTTCAGATTCTCGTTATCGCTGCTAAGCTTTTTTGGTAATAGCTTCAACTTTTCTCATAATCCCTTCAAATTTCTATTTTTATTTTTATTTTTATTTTCAATTTGATCACTATTATGTTCTGAAATAATCTGATTTTAGTTCTGTCCACTTAACCTGATTAATTCTGCATGGTAAAACATGGAGATCATGAAAAGAAGAACAAACATGATGTTTCTTAATAAACACCTGTATTCTGCTGGATTGATTTTTTTTTTTTTTTATAAAAAAAATACTGCTTCATTTGATAAGTTTGATTTATTTATTTTTCATGTTTTAGTTTTCTTATATGTATGCCTCAAATTATGAATTCGTAGGTAGCTTGATTTGCTTGGAGATTAGTTCTCTTTTGAACTGAATTTCAGCTATTCGTTTAGCCGAAAAATTCTTGTTTAGTGCTCTTGTGTGATTGCTCTCAATTCCCTGCCCTTTCCAATTTCATGTAGAACGGTAATTATGTTGTTTTATCACACACTATGTAAGGTCACAACGGATATTTTACGTACAAACGGTCGAAATATCTGTGCTGTAATTGTGTTTAAAAATCACAACGGCTCTGTTTCTCACCGTTTTCTTGTAAGGATATACTTTCATTCGAATCGTTCGTATGTGTTCTCACAATCACGAGCTTTCTAGCTATTAATCGAACGACATTTCCCGAGCAGATTTTTTTTTTTTTTAAACTAATGTGACCCCTTTTCTATAAGAAAATGGCACGTGAAGAGAATAAGCGGGCCAAACGGGCTTGGGAATCTGTTAAGCAGTACACTGTCCGGTGTGGAAAATGCGGGAAATGGAGGCTCATACCCACCAAAGAAAAGTACGAGCTGATAAGGGAAATGATTGCCGAAGAATCTTTTGAATGCGAGAAGGCCCGCGAGTGGTGGGCCCACATATCTTGCGATGACGAGCAGGATGGAAGCTTAAAGTGGGCCATGGACAAGCCCGGTGTGCCCAAGACCCCGGCCAGCTGGCAGCGAATTATACGAATCAGGGCTGAAGGGGGCACCAAGTTTGCCGATGTGTGAGTTGGCTAATGACATTTTCGTACCTTTTTTCGGAATTCTTCAATTCGAAATACATTCCAATTGAAAAANAAAAAACTCAGTGTGAAGTCTGTTTTGGTTAATTTTTGAATGTTTTGGTTAATTTTTGAAGTTCGTTTCATTTGTTTTAGTTTTTGCAACTCGTTAAAGGTAAGAATTAGTTTTAGGCTTATAACTTATTTCGTCAGATTATAAGCTTCTTGTATTCAGATAAAGGAATGATTTGTGTTTGGTAGGACGAGTTTTTTTATAAAATTCGAGCTTATCTCATAAGTTTCTTTGGGTAGCTTTTCAAATGAACTTGTTGAAATTTTTATTTTAGCTATCTTACCTTATCAGTTAATTTTACCAAACACATAAACTAGCTTTTTCAGGAGTAAGTCATAAGCTATAAGCTCGAAACTCACTCATAAGTTATCAGCTAGTTTACCAAACATACCCTTAGGCTATTGTCTAGTGATTGTCGTGTTTCTTAACAGCTACTATGTATCGCCGTCGAACAAGAGGCTGCGTTCTAAGGTGGAGCTCGAAAGGTATGGCTTAGCCTTCATGGCAACCCATTAATTAAGCGCAGTAGAGTAAGTTCGGCTTTGGGGTATTCTTTTGATAGTAATTAATCAAGGTGATTTTTGGGTACTCAATGCTCTTAGGCATCTAGTCGAGAACCCAAATTACAAACGAGAAGGTGTCGACATTTCTCGGTTTTCTTTTCAATGCCCGGTGGCTTTTGAGGCTGACTATGTTAATGCCAAGCGTCGAACTATTTCGAATTCTTCTCCTTATAAGACTGGTATGTATATACATTTTTAGTCAAAGCTGGATTTGGATTTGGATTTGGAATTGCAATTGCATTCACATTGACTTCATTTGAGTTAAAATAACAAAAGATTTTTTTTTTTTTTTTTTTTNTTTTTTTTTTTTTTTTTTTTTCCCACCAAAACGGACCAATTACATACTTTGCAAAACAACGTAAAGTACCTATTTAACCCTTTTGAAAAACTATGACATTTCATAGTACAAGTATATATTTTTTGTACAAAGAAGTATTAATTGATTTGCCTCATCAACATTGACTCGTTAAGCAGACTAGTAAATTCTTCTTCTTTTACGAAAGAGCTTGAGAACGATACTCTTTAATTATTGCCATGGACTTTTTTTTCATGCAGTTTGAGGAGGAAGGAGCTTTAGCTCGACTACATTTTCAGCATTGGTAGCTGTACTTGATCTTATCAGGATATGCTCTTGAATTTGTTGAAAATGTGACTCTGAGAAGGTGAAACAAATGTGGTTTTTGTATGTTTGTGAAGTTGTTAAAATTCATTTGGACCTGAGATTATCGACTGTATTTTTGTGGTGTTCTTGAAATTCGTCCGGACCTGAGATTGCTGAATTATCTCAAAGTAAGCAATGGTGACATAAATATCGTGTGGATTCGAAGCAGATGAGTATAAAGGGTAGAACCTTTGTTGGAATGAATCTATTTGCTTTGTATTCCTTATCGGCTGGTTTACCGAATTTTATGTTAGTCGAAATACTCACCAAAATGGATTTTTATTTTATTTTATGTTGATTTTAGTGATGCTTCATTTTCTGGTTATCCTTGCAGCTCAAAATGCATATCTATATCTATATTTATATAAAAAGTCATCCTATTTACTAGAAATAGTAGGCAGAAAAATCAAAGGTAATTAATGCTTGCTGGAAATAGAATGACATTAATTACATATTTGTTTTGGTATTTACTAGTACGTACCCCGTGCGATGCACGGAACATATATATTAAATGAGTTATTTTCACTGCCTTGTCCGTTTAAGTCTAAAAAATATGAGTTTTTTTTTTCACATCTTTTAACCAGCGTTGTTATTTTAGCCAGAACATTAAATATGAGCATGTTAGGGCTAGCTTGTAAAATAATTAATATATTATATAACTAAAATATTTATGCTAATAAAAATCTAATTTTAGCATATAAATTTATCCCTTGATATAAGAGAAAATAACAATTTTATTTATTTTTGTTCACCATATAATATTTAATTATTATTTTATTATATAATAAAAAAATACTGTTAAATAGTGTAGTAGAATTGTTATAAATTTATATGAATTATTATTTTTTACAATATGTATTTAATATCTTTTTATGATTTGATAATATAAACAAATCTATACTTACCTTTACTTTTCCAGCAAAGGTAAAAAAATCGATTTTGATTTTTATCCCATAACAAATCTTTAATGTCAAACCTATAAATACCAAAACAAATATGTAATTAATGTCATTCTATTTCCAGCAAACATTAATTACCTTTGACTTTTCTGCCTACTATTTCTATTAAATATGATGTCTTTTTATATAAGTATAGATAGGCTTGACATTAAAGATTTTTTATTGGATAAAAATCAGAATCGATTTTTTTACCTTTGCTGGAAAAGTCAAAAGTACGTATAGATTTGTTTATATTATCAAATCATAAAAAAATATTAAATCCATATTGTAAGAAAAAATTCATATAATTTTATAACAATTATACTACACTATTTAACAGTATTCTTTTTTTATTATATAATTAAATATTATAAGGTGAACAACAATAAGTAAAACTGTTACTTTAGGGATAAATTTATATGCTAAAATTCAATTTTTATTAGTATAATGTTTTAATGAGATAATATATTAATTATTTTACAAGTTAGCCCTAACATGCTCATATTTAATGTTCTGGTTAAAAAAACAACGCTTTAAAAGATGTGGAAAAAAACTTATAATAACCCTATTATTTTTTAGACTTAAACGGACAAGGTTGTGAAAATAACTCATTTAATATCTTTGTCTCGTGCATCGCACGAGGTACGTACTAGTAGTCATTAAACTGCACGCAGTTCTGCAATTACAGAGCCACTTTTATCCAAATTTTTTTAATGTTAATCAGGCAAACTGATTCATTGGCCATTCAATTGTCAGCTAGACAAATCCTAGACGACGAAGATTATAGACTATCATTTCCGAATTCAATATAATAAAGAAAAGTAGAAGATGGAAGATAAAAACAGATAATTCAATCCATTACTTGTATTCTCATTTATTCCAAAAAATCCAAAAGAATTGATGTATAATGATCTGTTGATAATCCACAAATACCGATAGACTGTGAACTATACTCCTTTTCAAAGTATGCCCGTTCGAGAAAGTATCTGTACCCTTATCAATAAGGATGGAGCTTCTGAAATTACACTGCCTCCTTTTTAAGCCAGTCGACAAAATTATCGAGAAGTAAAGGCCAAGCTTCGCATGTATCATAATTTCGAAGGTCCGGAAAGCTTATCTGCCAATATTAACATGACACATATTAAAACAANGTAGAAAATTCTTCCACTGATCCATATTCATCACTTTGTAGTCACTCTGGATCTGATACCCAAATTTTCAATAAGAAAAAAGAAAAAGAAAAAAGGAATGTCGAGAAAGAGAGACATTCACAGTTATCCGAGGTTATATGACTTAAAATACGCTGATTTGAATCATTTGATATAGTTTTGGTCGCGTACCTTAAGAAATTGGATGAATGAATCAACTTGTGCCGGATATTGAAACCCTAATACCAGATCAATCAATATGCAGGTGCTCTCAATATCTAAACATTTCTGTTTTTCCTCTGAAAATTTTGAATAAACCAACCGAATAAGAAAATAATCTAAGCACACACATTTACTCAGTAATGAAGGTTTACAATATGTACAGGCATGGCATACCTGTTAAACAGTAGCGAAAGGCAAACAAATAGAAATCTTCAAAGTTTACTGACTTCAAGGCCTTCCCATCAACAAATCGAAAACAGTGAAGTCCACATTCAAAAGAATGATAAAATAAATAAATAAAAATAATGAAGTGTGCAAAAGGGGAAATACCTCTTTCTTCAATTCTGGCAGTGATTTCTTCAATTTATTAATATTATCAACTCGAAGAGCTTTCAAGCCTCTTCTCCACTCATCCTAATGATCAAAAGATGATAACATGGAGAGAAACCAGCGCTTATGCAGTCTCCACATGATAAAATAAAAGAACTGATAAACGTTAAATAAAACAGAGTTTACCTGAGTAAAATATCCCTGCTTTTGGGCGTTCATTTTCCTTTAGAACATGTGAAATTTGTGAAGGCTCAGTTCATAAGAAATTATTACACCATATATTCTTGAGATACTATTAACTTGTGACATATTTTTGTATATCACATTATCACTTACCAAGCAAGAATCAAAATCTTGATATCAGTGTAATCCACCTCAAGATCCGAACATAGTGCCTCGATCCCTTCTGGCCTGTGCATTAAAAAAATAGAACAATGAACATTCTAATCATTTAAAGTTAGATTGAGTTAACAGAATTAGCGGCTCCTATTATTTAGGGAAATCTTGACATCTCTCACCAAGATTCCTCTCACTTGATTGTATGACAGTTTCAAGAAAATCAAACCAAACAATTACAACATTGTTTATTCTTCTCCATGTACTTATATGTCCTTGTACAGATCTATAGAAAAACACATTTCACTTTCCATATAATAAGTCAATACAAAACTACTACACTCACAATACAAATGAAGGAATTGGAAGTTCTCATGACAAAACATAACCGTATGAACCCAATATGTTCTCAGAAGAGCATGCCCGATGCAAATGTAGTGAGTAGAAAATAAGAATAAACTAAACAATAAGAACTTACTCAATCATTCCTGACGTTTTATCAGCATATTTGTTGAAAAATTCATCTATACGTTGATACCCCTTCGCCGAAACTTTACTTGATGCTGAATAAAATGAGTAATAAGTCAAAAAAACTAATAATGGATAGTAGATCGATGCTGCATTGTCAGAAATAAGTCACCAAACTAAAATAAGCAAAACCCTTCTGTAGAAAACAAAAAAAAACATATATATAAATAACCTACTTCAGAGTGTACCATAAAAGACAAACACTGACTTCCTGAAGTTGACATAATTCGATACTAATACAACTGAGATGGATCTGACATCTGTCCAACTCTTCCCACTTCAAATATTTCAAACAACAATGACTAGGTACCACCAACTATAAAAAGCCCTTCTAAGATAGCCTACAACATTATGCTCTGTGGATCGTGCAGAAAATAGACAAAAGATTATATAGCTACATAAACCAAGTTGTTCTTTTGAAGGTTAGATATGCATTTCTGATCATTACAACTCATAACAATTCGCGAACTCGTTATCATGAAATCCAAGGGGCCCACTTACAAAATTAAATCAACTGAAAATAACAGTGAGGATTTCAAGATTCAAAATTGGTCAGCTCCCAATAACCCAATGCATATTGCCACACTAATTGAAGAAAAATCAACTCAACTCTGATAGAACCCTAATTATCCCCTTCACTACACACAAAAGAGCCCCAGCCCAGATCATAAAAAACCCCATTAATTAGAACCCAGAAAAAAGAACAATTAACCGCAGGAAACTAGCAAGAACACATGATACTTGGGGGGCAAAGAAAGACATTAAAGAGTAGAGGGAAAAACCAAAAGAAAAACAGCACAGCCCAGATATACCAGAATGAATAGAATCCGCGCGGGCGCTTTTGGCAGGTAAAGAATTTTGAACATCAGATTTTCTTTTGGACGCCCGAGTCATTTGTTTCCCTTGTTAATCAATCAGGTTCTGTTCAACAAAACAAAACAAGGTACTGCCTTTGGTTTTTGGACAGGCTTTCGTGGTGTGGGGTTTCTTAGAGCATCTCCAATGCTCAACTTTCAACATTAATTAAATTTGAACACATGTCAATCAATGGATTAATGTTTAATCTACATGAATTGAATGTTAAAAGAATAGGACTTTCATTTGAATTGTTGCCTCCAATGCATCCATTCAACAACCATACAATTTGTATATGTGGATTTATTCAATTAGTAATAAAATCAAAGAGTATATTAGAAAAAAACCACAAATTCCAATAATTATATGCATGATGTTATTTTTTGTTGATTCAGTTATTTTTATTTATATCATCAAATTTAAAAAATTATTATTTATTCAATAATTTCTCAGTTACAATATGTATAATCACACAATAAATATTTTTTTAATTGGTTCAAAATAAAACAACAAAATATTAAAATTGCAATAACTCAACAAACAAATATCATGAACATAATATTTTACTTTTAAGGACATTATTATTGATAAATTTTTTAAATTTTAGTTGTAACTCATCAAATAATTATAATGTATTCAAATAAATTCTCAAATGTTTTATTGGATAAATGTAAGGGTGAGATTTTTCCAAGTTTATGAAAAGCTCAAAATTTGTGTCAAATAATTATCAAAATGATGAGTCATCATGTTAGAAAAAATGTGAGAAATTAGAAAGTGAGCTTGACAATGTTAACATTAATTTCTTACACATAAGCATGAAAGGACCCATAATCTAATGCATTGGAGGATATATTACTCACACACTTTCTATGTAGATTAGGTGGATAACTTTTTACCCTTTCAAAAGAATGCATTAGAGATGCTCTTATAGTTTTTCCAAGAGGAGAGGGGTAAATTAGAAGATTGGATTATTGGATATAAAAAAAGCAGGAGATAGTTAACAATAATTAAATTTGATTTGAAGTGAAGATGATCGATTAATATTATTTAGTTATGATAATATTGAGAATAGTTGAGTTGTATTCTGAGTTAAAGATGTAAAAAATTTATTTGATAAATCAAAATCGATTATAATCTGTAGTGAATTGTCCGGGTTGGAGAGACGTAGGAATATGATTATAGTTTAAGAGACAAACGTCTCACCACTTTTGACAAAGCGGCTTTCCTCTCTCTCTTTATCAAATCCACAATTTTTCAATTTATTGTAGCAAACCCTCCCGTAGGTTTCGCTGTCGTTTTGCCTCCTCTTCGTCTTCATCCTTCTCTCTGTCTCTCTGCCGAGAAGGCAGCTTGCGCCAGTGTGGCTATGGGCCGTCTAACCTGCTCTTTGTCCCTCCTGTCATGGCGCTGCTTCAAACCTTTGGTGTCCATCGTGGTGTATTCGGGGATCGAGGGGCGGTGCCAAAGGCCCGTAGTTGTTGTTCCTGTTCGTTGCCCTGGTGGTGGTCGGCTCTGAGGCTGGCGATCGGGCGTTCCCCTGGATCCGAGAGACAGAGTTTTATCCGGTGCAGAGACGGAATGGTGTGACGGCTGGTTGCGATCTCGTTCGGTGGTTTCGGAAGTCGTGGTTGGTTTGGTGCGGGGACGTTTTTGGTTGCTGGTTTCTCAGTGCAATTTCGGTGTGGATACTTTGGGCATGGTCGTTGTTCGATTTGGCCGGCTCTAGTCAGTCGTTTATTGCAGTGTCTAGAGCTCGTGTTCGGGCAATGGGCCTGTTCTTCGTAAGGGGTTGTCTGTGGTTGTTGTTCTTTTGGGAGGTGTTAGGAGAGTTTAAGGTCGGATGGGAAGAGCATTGTTCTAGTATAGTTTTTTAGTGTGGTGTTAGCTGTTTGTGTTTCTGTTTTGTTGTTGTTTTATTCTCCTGTTTAGGAGTCGTATTCTCCACATGTGGGAGTTATTTAGTTTAATTTGTTGTTTTGTGCGTGCGTTAGCGTACTGGTTCTTAGGCTACCTTCAGGTAGTTCTCATATTATTCTGTTGAATGACTGTTTGGCTAATTTTATTTGTTATTTTGATTTAATTATGTGTTTTTTTTATCTATATGATTTCTATGGTTTGAAAAAAATAAATAAATAAATAGTAGGTCAAATTATGGTCAATGTCGGATTTGCATTAAATATTTTCCAAAACAGGTAAGTTTTTGTCCTTTTCACACTTCTCATTAATTATGTCCTTTTCACACTTCTCATTAATTAGGTCCTTTTTACACATCTAATTAATTCATTAATTACGATATAATTATCATAAATCATTACATATGAGCTTTTATCGTTAGAATGTATAGCGATCTGTTATGACCTTATCCCATTGATATTTTCATGAAGCGTCCTTAACGCGTTCTATTTTTTGGTAACCACTCTATATCAATAACCGGATATTTGGTTAATGATAGCACACGTCTTTATTTCAAGGAGCGGATATTCTTTGATTTTTAATTAATCTGAATTGATTGCCTTGACTTTTCAATTTTTAAAAACTCTTTTTTTAAAATATTTCGGCTTAAGATTCGAATTTCATTATACAAGTCATCGGATTGTTTGAATGAAAATGAATGAAAAGAACACCAAAAACAGGTAGCCTTATTCATATAACCAATCCTAAAATATTAGTTTGTTCACCAAAAAGAGACAAATCTTAGAAATCCTAAAATATTAATTTGTTCACCAATCCTAAAATATTAGTTTGTTCACCAAAAATATTAGTTTGATTTTTAGGATTTGTCTCTTTTGAAAATATTAGTTTGTGATAATGAGGAGTTACCAAATAATCAAACTCATAATGTTGTGTACAAGGAGGTTTTTAACAATATATGATTGTTACCGACTTTTTATGATTCAACAATATTCGTATGTATTTTAATGATTTCAATTTCGATTCTAATGCACGTGAGGTTATATTATTCTTTCAAATTTTATATCCTGTGTATCGCACGGGTTATAGCTTTTAAAACTCTTTTTGATATGACCAACTAGTGTTGAGCTAAAAAAAAATATAATCAGAAGTCATTCATTAAGTGGTAAAAAAAGGTTTTAAAAATCAACAACTACAAATTAGCTTAACGAGGAAAGCCTGAAAAGTGAAAACACATTCTTTATATTGAATTTTATAATATAAATTATAAATTTTAAGATTGAATTAGAATTATGAATATTAATATTATTAAAAACTTAGCAATTAACTAAAAAAATATTATATTATATTATAAAAGAGCCATAACAAATCTATAAATTAGTAACAATTCTCATGGAAATAAACTTTCAAAACTTCTACACAAATCTATAAATTAGTAACAATTCTCATGGAAATAAACTTTCAAAACTTCTACACGCTACATACATAAGTTTTTTAGTTACATCTTTAAACAAAATAATGACATTAATATTTTATTACTTGTATTTTTATATATAATATATATTTAGTAATTTTTTTTTAAAAAAAAAATGAGAGGTAACCCATTGGGGTCGTCCCTATATAAATCCACCTATATATACTTATATCCACTTATAAACTTATATCCACTTATAAATAAAAAAATCGATGAGATAAAGGTGAATTAATTATTATTTTAATATAAAATAATGTAACATACAAAATAATATCTAATTTTGTTGCAATAAAAAATAAAAATATCATTCTATAACCTGATCTTTCTCGTGTTCCAATTACCCCGTTCCAACTTCTCTTCTTGAAATAAAAATATCATTCTATAATTATAATATGAGAATGATTTAATACTAATGTTTAGAGATAAATATGGAGTAATTAATTATTTTTGTTTTAAAAAGTATTTAAAAAAATTGGGGTGAAGTGAAAAAAAAAGATGACGAATTTTTTACTTTTAATTGGCAAATGATATAATGATTTAATAGATGTATCCAACGCACCTTGGTATATGGCACAGTTAATTATTTGCTAATTTTCTTTTCGTGAATAAAAAGTGTTTCCGAAATCATGGGTGTTTATCAAATGTAATCTGATTAATCATAAATAATTAATAGAAGTTCCACAATACTCTAAAATAAATCAATTTAACAATAGTTTTAGCACAATTTTGGAATTGTGGTCGAAAATTCCACAATAGTTTAAAATAAATCAATTTAACAATAGTTTTAGCAGAATTTTGGAATTGTGGTCGAAAATTGACACTTCCTAACCAGAGATACGTCGACCTACTTATGAATACCTGATCCAAAGATATGACTGCCTATTTATGAAGACATGTCTGTAAGGCCGAATTCATAAAGAAGAGCTACCAAAATTATGTTAATTAATTTGATTATGAAGAGTTGGTCCATACATATGTCAACCTGATTATGAAGGCTTGGTCCGAAAGACGTAATTTAAAAATATGACGACCTGAATGTACATTGTGATTTCAAAATTGTTAAATATATAGTGTTCAATTCTTATTATTATTATTATTATTATTATTTTTTAAACAATAGAGGTTATATATCTCAAAACAAAAGAATACATAGTTTATACAATCGCAGACAAACTGGTCTATAACTGGCCATAACCGTCAATGCTAAAACCCAAATGTACAAAAGAAAGCTAACCCAGTAATATAGAGTTTTGAGCTAGCTAATGGCAATGTCCTCCCATTGTATCCATTAGCTAACACATAACTCTAGCCCCCACAAAAGGAAATCCTATCACTGCACAACAGGCCTAGTAGGACTTCAATCCAAAACAAAATACCCACAGCTAATAAATATTGCATCTATACAAAATCTAAGAAAGAAAAAAAACAAACAGACCATTAACAAAACAAAGCAAACTCTCTCCATTCTTTTCCTGCAAGATCCACCAGTGCTTTGTCATCCATCCATGTGTTTTTAAACATCCACAAGTTACGAGCTTTCCACAACCCCAGAGAATATATGTAGAGGATTGTATTCGAGCTTCTGATGTTGCAGTTTTGTTGATGCTACAAACACTAGACCACCAACCTTTAAAGCTATCAGTTTGGGATTTCAGCCCATCCCATGATACCTGTGATTTTTCCCAAATTCTTCTTGCTCTGGAACAGTCAAAGAACATATGCTCTATTGTTTCAAGTTGTTCACCACAGATTTTGCAAAGACAGTCTACTTCCATGCCTTTCTTGATTAGATTGCAGTTAACAGGTAGTGTATTAGTTAAGCACCTCCAAAGAAAATGCTTTAACTTACCTTTAACCTTGAGATTCCAACTCCTGTTTCTAGTTGCTTTTTGTATAGAGTGTCCACTGCTGCTTTCAGCATAATCCAAAATTCTCCATTTTTCTGCCACTAGCTTTGAGTATGTAGAAGAGACTGAAAATGCACCATTTGTTCCACTGTCCCAAACAAGCTTATCCGGTTGAGAGGGATTGAGCCCCTTGATTTTGAGAATTGTCTGAGCTTCTGTCACATTGAAATTCTCTTCGATCAACTGTATGTTCCATTGTCTACCCGTTTGGTCCATAAGTTCGCTCACCCAGATAAGATTGGCAATTGTAGCAGGTGGTGTTGAAGTGAGTTTAAAGCCTGGCAGATCTGGTATCCATGGGAAATCCCATATCTTCACTGATTTGCCATCCCTTATTTTATATCTTGCACCTTCCTTCAGTGAGTCTCTCACTTCAATCCAGCTATTCCATAGCCAAGATCCAGTCTGCTTCTTCTTGACTGTGAATAAACTCTCATTTGTCTTTGGGGAGAGTAAGGTAATCCCATGATTTCCAGTGAATGGCTTTGTTTTGATCAGCCTTGTTTTTCCACCAGAAGCTTGCAAAAGTTTTGGGATATCCTGTGACAAATTGTTTTGGGCAAGAGAAAGCAAGACATTGCATATAGTGGTAGAGCTGAGAGGACTGCTTTCAGTAATATCTCTTTACCTGCAAGGGATAGGAATTTGTTCTTCCAAGATGCAATCTTATTAACCACATTATCTTGAATGAACTGAAAAGTTTGCACTTTAGACTGCCCAATGCCCAAAGGGAGGCCCAAGTATCTCACAGAATTATGACAAGAAATGCCAAGAAGAATGCCACAGACTTGACTTTTAATGTGAGGAGGGGTATTTTTGCTAAAGAATATTATGGACTTTTGAAGGTTTATTTGTTGCCCAGAACATTGCCCATATTTTTCAAGGATATTTAGTATCAGGTGAGCTTGGCTTTCATCTGCTTGGGTAAAAAGCAATGTGTCGTCAGCAAAGAAAAGATGGGTTAGAGTTGGACCATTTCTGCAGAGCTTAAGTCCTTTGAAATTCCCTAAATGGCTTTCTGACTTTATAAGCTGGGAAAGAATCTCTGAAATAAGAATGAAGATATAAGGGGACAGAGGGTCCCCTTGTCTGATTCCTCTATATGCTTCACAAAACCAGTAGGGCTGCCATTTAGGTTAAAAGAGAAAGTTGGAGATGATATGCATGCAATGATCCATTTAACAAAGGCATAATGAAATCCCAATCTAATCATGGTATGCAGGACACAATTCCATTCCACTCTATCAAAAACTTTGGACATGTCCAATTTGATAGCCATATAACAAGTTTTGCTCTTTCTGTGCTTATTGAGAAAATGGACAGCTTCTTGGGCAACTATGACATTATCTAAAATCTGTCTATCACTCACAAAAGCAGCTTGAGTTTCAAGTCTTAAAATTCTTATTATTTTCTAAAATTCTTATTATTTTCAAGTCTTAAAATTTTGAATACTTCGTTATTATATTGGTAAAAAAAATCGACTATCAAAGTGACAAAACTCTCTTGGGCTTAATGAAAATTGGGTCATCTGTATTGCTAACATACAATCCGTCAATAAACATAAAGAAATCCCAAAAAAATAAATAAATAAACATAAAGTATCAATTAGCCCAAATGAGGATCGATATTGTTGATCAAAAGATATTGGACCAGGGGCTTAATTAGTATACAATTATGAACTTACTATTCTTATCATCATCAACTAGTAACGAGAAATATATATGTCCATCATCGTTACACTCTCTTCAAGAATTATCATTTGGCTATCCAAGTTTTAAGGAAGGGTAATCCACACTGACCAGTAAATAAATATC